ATTATAGACATATATTGCATCAACATTTATTCCGCTGGCCAGTTCCATTGTTCATGGATGGAAACTTACACGATTATATGTCCTCTTTTCTTTTTCTTTTTCTTTTTCCCGTTCTCTCTTTCACTTTTTCTTGATTGAAAGAAAATTGGTGTGTGACTTAAATCTTACCAACATCGCTTTGCTAATAATTTACTAAACAAATAGATTAATACTGCTGAATTTTCTCTCTCTACTATTTTGGTGATCAGAAATGAACATTGGATCTAAATCAACTTCAAAGATTAGTTAATAATGTGAGGATTGTTCAAGACCATGAGTCCATTACTCAAATGGTCACTCAACTATCCCAAATTATCTCCTAAAGTCACTTTTCTTTCGTTTGTAACAACAAAGTCATTGAACTATGCCTATTGCACTCAGAAGGTCACTCAACTAGATTTTCCAAATTTTGAAATTCCAAATACCTATTTTACCCTCTAAATTATAAACATTTATCTTCTTTTTTATTTTTATAAAACTTTTTAATATTATAATTTTTTCCCTTTTTAATTTATATTATGAACTTACCTATAGAACAAAAAAAATAAATATTATTTATAAATTAAAAAATAAAAGTATTTAAGCATATATATTGCTAGAATAACAAAATAATGAGCATAGTAAAAAAATTAATTAGAATAATTTGTTAGTAATAATAATTTTAGTACTAACAAAAAAAATTTGAAAAAATTATTTACACAATTCAGAAGGAAAGAAATTAAAGGTTGTAAATATATATTCCATGCATGTAATATAAAAATAATTATTTAAATAAAAGAATTTTTATAATATAAATTATATATTTTTGAAAATTTTGCTCAAGTATATTATATATATTCCATGCACTTAACATAGTAAATTTTACCCTATAAAGATAGTCTCCCTGCTTTCCGGTGACATAACTTTGTGTCGTTGGAAAGTTGGTAGAAACATAATAATATAATTGAGCATAATTTTTAAGAATATATAATGTATATTATAAAAATACCTTTATTTAAATAATTATTTTTATATTACGTGCATGGATATATATTTTACAACCTTTATTTCCTTTCATTCTGATTGTGTAAATAAATTTTTGAATTTTTGTTGTTAATACTAAAAAGTTAAAAAAATATATAAAAAGAAGATAAATATTTATAATTTAGAGGGTAAAATAGGTATTTGGCAATCCAAAATTTGAAAAATCTAGTTGAGTGATCTACTGTGTGCAATAGACATAGTTCAGTGATTTTGTTGTTACAAAGGAAAGAAAAGTGACTTTAGGAGATAATTTGAGATAGTTGAGTGGCCATTTGAGTAATTACCCATCGCACAACGAGGACTTCTTACACTCCTTCACATTTAGAACTAATTAAAACATCTATTCATTAAAAAATAGGTTGGAAAATGAACTTTTTAAAAATGGATCAAATATGGATAAGAACCATATTATCCATTTAGAAAATGGTAACCAATTGATAACTAATAGGTCTAACTTTTATATTTGTAAAACCTCGTTCCTCAGGTTTGGGAGATTAGAAATTCTCCCAAAATTGATCATATTCCAGAAGCAATGGATAATATGAATTTTCATATTATCAGCCAGTTAACCCGTTTCCGTATTGAATATGCGTCGGGTCAGATAATTTTTCCGTTTTTCGTATAGCCCATTTTTGACTCGGCCATATCCGACCCGAACCATCTGTTTGCCACGCTAGATAACCGTAACTTGAATATGTATGGCTTATAGAAGAGGCTAGTCAAGATGGAAAATGTGAGAATGGTTGCTACACACGTCGTGTGCAATTTAGGTACTGCATTGAATTCTTTGTACCTTTCACTGTCAAATGATGATATCTTTAGAAGTGCATGCACATAGTCTAATTATCTGTAAAACATATGTGTCTGGATGTCTTGATGTTCACATCATGTGTTTCAATAGAACATTATGGCTGTAAATAAATAATAATATCTTCTTTTGAGTTTTGACTGTGAAGAATTAGGAGGACAATCAACCTTAACAGTTTGTTGGTTCAGTAGTCAAGAGTAGGATGTAAATTCTGAGGTTGTAATTTGTGGCCAAGAGTGGACCGACATTAGAGAAAGGGGTCCATTTGACTCCGAAGGAGTTTCCCCTTGAAATTAAACTTTACCATTTAATATATATATATATATATATATATATATATATATATATATATATATATATATATATATATATATATATATATATATATATATATATATATNNNNATATATATATATATATATATTGTTGAACCTCTTTTACACAGGGAAAAACATTCTCAAAAATAAAACTGGCCACTAACTTCCTCTCTATTCTATATCTATTTGTTAATGGAGGTCGGCTATGGAGATGGGCAGAAGAGGAAATGAGACGAGAGAGAAGGAAGAGAAATGCATTCTGACTGAATCGATACTGAGCTACTAAATCTAAAATGAAAATAAAACTTCCTATTTATACACATGGCTAACTAACTAACTAACTTGTTAACTTAATCCTACACTAATGCCAACTCATTAATAGCTGGCATACAACTGTATAAGTACTTCTAACTACCAGCCTCAACACTCTCCCTCAAGCTGAGAGATGAAATGTGTTCTTCATGCGCGGCTTGCCAACCAGATGATCATGTTGTGGTCTGCACAAGCCTTTTGTAAGCATGTCAGCTAACTGATTCTTGGTTCTAATATGTTGAGTTTGTAGTTGCCCATCTTGAATTTTTTCTATCACAAAATGACAATCAATGTCAAAGTGTTTTGTCCTCTCATAAAAAATGGGGTGATGCAATCTGAATTGCAGCTTTGCTATCGGAAAACAACTGCACAAGCAAATTCACCTTCACTCCAAGTCTTTAAGCAGCCCAATTAACCAAGTGATCTCAGCTACAGTTGATGCCATGCTCCTGAATTCTGCTTCAGCAGAACTTCTAGAAACAGTACTTTGTTTCTTTGATTTCCAAGACACCAAAGCTTGCCGAAACTTCACCATGTAGCCTGATAGTGACTTCCTGGTTTCTACACATGCTCCCCGATCTGACTCACAAAATGCTGACAATTCTGTGCTTCCATCTGCTGGTATAAACAACCCAAGACCTGCAATGCCCTTAATGTTGATATACCCCATGTTTTCATACGTGAAAGTATGCCATAAGTGAATTGATGAAAGCTCGGGAATAAGATATTACATCCCGCATTTTCGGACGTTAAGTCTCGTCATACGTTAATCGACGCAAGCTCAGGAATGAGATTATTTTGAGATTACAAATATTATGCTATTTCAAATAAGTGATAAGTAAATTCATGAAGGTGAGAGGGTAAGCGAATCGAAGAAAGTGAGTTTCGTCGAAGGTTGTCATTTTGAGATAAAATACGGTCCGAGCTATAATACCCGGTATTTATGGACTAGTGCCATATAAGGTACCATATGACCATGATAATAAGATGTATAAATTGTGTTAAAAGGGAGTAGTATTTCAAGTAATTTGAGATAATTCTTAATTATATAGGTAACTGGTTAGTGGAGATTAACAAGTTAATCAAGAGATTAGTGGATAGTTAATGATGATCTTGGATAAGGTTAATAAAGACCAACGTGGCAACCAAGGGAATTATGTAAATGTGACTCTGTGGCTAGGGGCTAGGAGTCATATTTAGGGGCTTTGTTGGCTAAGTCATCCCCTAAAGTGGGGCCCACTCAAATAAGAAAAAAATTCAATCTCCCTAATTCATTAAATGGAGATGGGTTAAGAGATTCAACAATGGTAATGGATGGGATTCTCAATAATCTCATATAAAGCCTTATAATGCTACGGCAACAGGAGTTTTCGATTCTAAGGGAGTACGGTGCATTCTTTCTCAAGAATATCATATGAATTTTTCCCTACTTCGATCCGCCGCTATGTGATTTATCGCAATGACGTGTGTTAGAGGGATTGTCAAGAGAATCGACTCAGGTATGTTAAGGCTATCCCTTCTTTCTTTTTGGCATGATCCGTACGATACAAACGAAACAAGCAAATGCACAACTTCCATAAATGACTTTATTCATATAAATACTAGAGGTTCCTATGTTCTTGATTCCCATATGTCTTATTATTCTATCGTCTGTCCATGGGTCTCAGAAAATATGTAAGTTGATAAAGTTTATTTTATGATATTAATCAGAGACATAATGGTCTTATGATGTTCCGAGAGATTTTATTGATGTACTTCTCATGCATTACATTCATTTATACATGTCCATTGACCCATGACCAGATGGAGTTATATATGCGTATTTATATGTATATATATGTATATGGGATTTCGAAAAAGGTTACGATATTATATACGCACCACCACCTGATCAGCTGGTATACGTTGATGATTTTGCCCATAGTGGTCGAGATGATATGACAGGATGCCCTCAGAGGCTTGATGATGTTAAGAACACATGTACCTAAGCACGAAATGACATTTATACGCATATGCATGACATTATGAGTATTTCATGATTTACAGAGTTATTCAGACTTACATATCGAGTCTTTTACCTCATGTTTCTCTCATGTCTATTATTTACTTATTTTCATTCCTTACATACTCGGTACATTATTTGTACTGACGTCCTTTTTGCCTGGGGACGCTGCGTTTCATGCCCGTAGGTCCCGATAGACAGGTCGATAGTCCTCCAAGTAGGCTATCAGCTCAGCGGAAGATGTTGGTGCGCTCCATTTGCTCCAGAGTTGCTTGGTTGGTCAGTATGATTTAGATGAGTATTGTTTGGTACGGCAGGGCCCTGTCCCGTCCTTTATGATAAGTATGTACTCTTGGAGGCTTGTAGACAGATGTCATGTATACGGATACTTGTATGGCATTGTCGGCCTATATTTTAAGTATATAATGGATGGTATGAGTTTCTATATCAGGTTGGGTTGTTCTATGTCGGATATTTTATCATGTTTACTCTAGTTATCTCATGATGCCCCTTCTGGACCACTTACCTATGATGATGTAATAAGAAAGATACGTTACATTAATACTCGGTTGAGTAAGGTACCGGGTGCCTGTTGCGGCCCATCGGTTTGGGTCGTGACAAATGTATCTAACTACTCTTATAGCTGCATCCATGTGAGACTAAGCATGCATGTATTGACTAAGTACCTGAACTACAAAGGCAATATCAGGCCTAGTCATAGTTAGGTATAACGGTCTGCTAATCAGCCTTTGGTAGCTGCTTCTATCTTCTAATTCTTTGTCAACTGAGTTCTCATTAGTGTGCAAAATCCTGTCTAGTTCTACAGAGAAGAGCTTGTGGTTGAACTCTAGAGTAGTAGCAGCTGTTCTACTACCTACTAATCCCATTTCAGACACTAGCTCAAGTGCATACATCCTTTGATTCATCAAAATTCCTTCCTTGGATCTCAAGAACTTAATACCAAGGAAAAACGTCAGTTCTCCCAGATCCTTCATTTTAAACCTGGCTTGTAGATCTTTCCTCACCTGTTGAATGAGCGATAAGCTAGTTCCTATCACCAGCACATCATCCACATACACAAACATTTCTATAAGATCACAGCCTACCTTATGTGTGAACAAAGAATAGTCATAGTGTGATTGAACAAAGCCCATGTCAACCAGTGCAATAGTAAGCTTCAAGTTCCACTGTCTGGGGGATTGTTTAAGCCCATACAGTGTTATGAAGCCTGCAAACCTTCTGTTGTTGCTGTAACTCCCCCTGGCTGGTAAAGCCATCTGGGTTTATGCATGTACACCTCTTCAAGGAGATCACCTTGAAGGAAAACATTGTGTACATCCATCTGAAAAATATACCATCCAGATGTTGCAGCTAAAGCTACCACAGATCTAACAGTTACCATCTTAGCTATAGGAGAGAAAGTCTCCTTATAATCTAAACCTTCTAGTTGACTATATTCTGTGGCAACTAGTCGAGCCTTATACCTCTCCACTTCACCAGTAGACTTGTACTTCACTTTAAAGACCCATTTACATCCTATAGGAGTCTTACCATGAATAATATCAACAATGGTCCAACTTTGATTAGCTTCTAAGGTTGAAATCTCAGCTTTCATAGCCTCAATCCACTTGGGATCTGCCTTGGCCTCATCATAAAACCTTGGCTCAGTAATGGATGAATAAGCTGCAAGTGATGCCCTGCAGGTAGGTGAGATATAATCGTAGGTTACACACTGTGAGATAGGGTGAGCACAGGAAGAAGGCTTAGACGGCACAATATAGACTTCCATCCATGTACGAGGTTTAGTCACCCTAGAAGATTCCATTAAATCAGCATGAGTAGGTGAAGGAAGAGAGGATGGGGAAGAATGATCAGTAGTATGTGAAGAAGGGGAGAATGGACTAGGTTGGTCACTCAAGGAAGGCATAGAAGGACATGGAGTAGCAGATGGACTGAAGGAATCAGGAGTATGCAGAGCAGGACACTTAGCATCTCTGAACTCTAGAACTGGAAACAAAGGAGATGGGGTTGTATGTAGATGTTTGAATGGAAAAATATCTTCTCTAAACACGGTGTCTCTGCTAACAAAGAAGAGTTGAGAGCTCAGGTCATACAAAACATAACCCTTCTGGACAGAGGAATAGCCTAGATGAACAACAGGAATAGCTCTAGGGCAGAACTTATCTGTTTTCTTTAGGTTAGTTGCATAACACAAACTCCCAAAGACTCTGAGATGTTGTAAAGAAGGGGACTTGTGAAACATCTTTTCAAAAGGAGATACACCCTTAAGTACAGTAGTAGGCAGCCTATTCATAACGTACACAGCAGTAGTAACACATTCTCCCTAAAATTTTAGGGGGACACAAGCCTGAAACCTTGAGGCCCTAGCCATATCAAGAATAGATCTATGTCTTCTTTCAACTCTGCCATTTTGTTGACGAGTGTATACACAAGAACTTTGATAAACTATGCCATGTTCTTGTAGAAGTCCTGTGACTTGGTTGTTAAAGAATTCAGTACCATTATCTGATCTTAGACACTTGACACTACAGTGAAACTGATTTTTGACTAATAACAAAAAATTTCTCAAGATCACAATAGATTCTGCCTTGTCATTCTTTAAGAAAAGCCAAATAAACCTTGAGTAGTCATCCACTAAAGTCATAAAATACCTCCTACCATTATGAGTAGGTACTCTCTATGGCCCCCAAATATCAGCATGTATGAGATCAAATGCATTAATACAACATGCATTACTGGAAGAAAAAGGAATTCTTGTTTGCTTAGCAACAGGACAAACTGTACAAAATGCTCCTTCAACTGAACATTAGGCAGACTTTCTATCTTATTTAGAACTCTTAATGGTGCATGACCTAACCTCTTATGCCACAAGACAATCTCATCTAGATACTCAGTAGAATTCTAATTTTTAGTACTAGCATTATTTGTTTGGGACTCACTAACAGTAGTATTTACATGAGGACTGGAATGATATGGCCTAGGATCCGACAACTGCTTGGGAACATCTTATTCTTTGTGCTTCAGAATGTAGAGATCATGCTCCTCTTTACCAATCCTCATCACCTTCCCGGTGAAGAGCTTTTGAAATATGCAGAAGTCAGGAAAGAAAGCTACTAAACATCTTAACTCTTTTGTGATTTTTGACAATAACATCAAATTGAACTTGAAATCTGGAATATAAAGCACATGATATACTGATTTATTCTTAAACAATGATAGATCACCAGTGTGACTGATAATAACCTTTTTACCCTTAGGAAGTTGAACTGAGTTTTGATCACTATCTGACAATTTTCTAATATTACTCAGTAGATTAGGTTATGAGCCATATGATTAGTAGCACCTGTATTTATAATCCAATTATTGCTCACTAGATGAGACATGAGAGTTGTCAAGGTACCTGTAGTACTCATTGTTGCAGAATTAGCCACAGTTTCAACCGGCTTTCCTTTGTTCAACACCTGCAGGATCTGATTGTATTGATCCTGAGTAAAGAAAGGTGCTGAAGAGACACCTGCTGTTGCTGGACCATATGATGGAACCACATTAGCAGCACCTCCTTGTAGGGTAGATGAATCAGATGCTATGCTGGCAGTGTGTGCATATGCACCTTTGGAACCAGGAGTACCTCCCCCTCCTTTCCTGCCTCTAAAATCAGTGGGGTAACCATGAAGTTTATAACAATTGTCTCTAGTGTGACCTTTAAAATGGCAGAAGTCATACTGAAGAGATGAATTTCCAAAGTTATTTCTGGGCTTATAACCACGATTGTAACCACCAGTAGGGGCTCTATTACTCAGTAGAGTTGTAGGATCACCAACACCAACCGTAGCATTGTTTCTTCTCTGAATTTCACATTAATGATCATTGCATACGCGTGGTTTATATTAGGTACTGGTCTATTCATGAGAATCTGATCCTTAGCAATATCAAAAGTATCATTTAGCCTAGTAAGAAATTGATACAACTTTCGAAGCTGATAATGTTCTGCATTTTGTTTATATTCTGGACAATCACACAAAGGAGGAGGAACTAAAGCCTCATATTCATCCCACAATTCTCTAGGTTTTGAAAAATATTCAGATACAGATAATAGTCCTTGGGTTAGCTTCCCAATTTCCTTGTGTAAGTAAAAGGATCTAGATGCATTGACCTTATCAAGCCTCTCACGAAGGTCTTCCCAAACCTTGTAAGCATCAGAAGCCTATATAACAGAACTAGGTAAATTTGGAGCCATAGTGTTCATTATCCAAGCTAACACAATAGTGTTACACCTATCCCATAGCTCATGTAGGCAAGGATCAAACATGTATTTTCTATAGGTTCCTAACACAAAACCTAACTTATTTTTACCATGCAATACAATTTTCATATATCTACCCACAATGAATAATTCTCAGAACCTCGAAGTTGAATTGAAATGAGAACTACACCTTGTGTATCAGACGGTGGATATAGAGAGGGTGATTTCCATGAACTAGGTCTACATTCTGATCATGTAGTGTTGGAGTGGCTGGAGCAGAGGAAGTAATTTCTTCGATAGTCATTGTAGTAATCAATTAGCAGGTCTTCAAAAACCAATAATTGAGATTGAAGTTTTCAGTGAATTGAGATTCAATCCCAGAGGAATTATCGTCGTAGATCACAGACTCGAATTCGAGCTCAATTTGTGAGAATTTTCTACTTCTCTTTGCAGCAGACTTCTCCTAATTGCTGAACCAGGTAACTTCACCGGAGCTCTGATACAATGTTAATGGAGGTTAGCTATGGAGATGGGTAGAAGAGGAAATGAGACGAGACAAGAGAGAAGGAAGAGAAATGCATCCTCACTGAATTGATACTGAGCTACTAAATCTGAAATGAAAATAAAACTTCCTATTTATACACATGGCTAACTAACTAGCTAACTTGTTAACTTAATCCTACACTAATGCCAACTCATTAGCAGCTGGCATGCATACAGCTGTATAACTACTTCTAACTACCAGTCTCAACACTATTATTCTTCCTTTTCTTTATAAAATTTCTTTTAAATTTATAAATTTTGCGAAAATTTTAAGAGTATTTTAGTTATTTGAATAAAAGAATTTCTTATCAAATAAATATACAAGCTGCATATTTATCAACTCAATTACAGCACTTAAAAATATTTTTCGGCATTCTAAAACCTATGGGCTATTTACAGTAGGCTTAACTAAGAAGGTTCATACAGTGACAAGAAAATTGAAGCATGAGTGGTCTATAGAAGCGCTTGGAAAAGCCAAAATATTGTGAATCGAACAATGATGAATGCAGTATGGGCATGCTCTTCTAGATATTGGTAAATCAGATAAATTGCAAAAGTTTTTTTTTTCTTTAATAAATCGCAAAAGATACTTTATAGTTTATATGAAGAAGGCTCTGTTGCCGAAGCTGAAGACGAAATTGGATTCGAGGAATACGTTATATTAGGGCTGTGCATAATTTGGTAAATACCAAATTCCTATACCGAAATCGAAAATTTTAGTATTTGGTATACAGTATTTTGGTATTTGGTATGGTATTTGGTTTAAGTTTTTAAAAAAAATTGGTATTTGGTATGGTATTTGGTATTTTAAAATAAAATGCCGAAATACCAATACCATACTTTGAAATATATATATATTATATTACACAAAACACATATTATCAATTATAACATAAATATAAAATATCTATAATTTAACTTTCCTATATTCTCTAAGTTCATCAATTAACTCTAAACAAGTAACAAGACATTTCTAATTATCAAATATTCTTTTGTGTACAATTTTCTCTCCTTGGGTCGATATTTGCTAGTTTTGGACAAATTTTTTGTCAACAAACATTTTCAATTTTGTATTTTTGAGTACTTTAATTAAGAATATTAGAGTCTATGGCTCTATGCACTAGTTAGTATTCAAACCGAATAAACCGAAGTTACCGAACCGAATAAACCGAAATTGAAAGTAGAAAAACCGAACCATACCGAATTTAATTAGGTACGGTATTGGTATAGGATTTTAAAAAATCGAATACCGAAAATACCAAACCGAAATGTCTAAAT